AGACTGTGGGGCGAAGAAAGAGAACGGGGGGGAGACAGAGAGCCGGGGGGGAGAGAGAGAGACTGGGGGGGGGAGAGAAGGGGGGAAACGCCGCTGCTGCTCAGAAACCGCTCAGAAGTCAAGGCCAGTGTGAGGAATGGGGGCACGGCAAGTGTGGGGGCTGAGAAGGGGGGAGGACCAGGATCCTGAGAGGGCGCCCCGGGTCCCAACGTGTCCTTCCGCCCCCTCCCCAGCCGCCACCCACACCCACCTTCGGCTATGCCCCATGAAGTCATTGCGGTCTCGGCTGGCGGCCCCGAGGAGCCCGGCCCGGCCAGGAAATCCAGCGCTGACTGGAGCGCCGACTGGACTCTGCGACCGAGCCACCGCTCAGAAGCCAAGGCCGGTGTGAGGAAGGGGGGCACGGCAAGTGTGGGGGCTGAGAAGGGGCACGGGAGGGGGGGAGGACCAGGATCTTCAGAGGGTGCCCCGGGCCACAACGCGTCCTTCCGCCCCCTCCCCAGCTGCCACTCACACCCACCTTCGGCGATGCCCCATGAAGTCATTGTGGTCTCGGCTGGCAGCTCCGAGGAGCCCAACCGGTCAGGAAATCCAGCGCCCCGGCGACATGGCCGGGACTTGGGGGGAGGGCGGCGGGGGGAGAGGAGCCGACAGGCCGGTTCCGCCTGCCGCTGAACCCACCAATTATAACCCTCGCCGACCACCATACCCTTGCCTCCCTCCTTCCCTTCCTCCTCGCCTTCTGACTTTAAAGCTCCGTTTGGAGCTCTGCCCCCCCCCCGCAAGTATCGCGGGTCCCCCTCTTGTTTCATATAACTTTGTTGTCCACAAAGGAATTCTTGAAGTTGTAGTTTGATGTGTGGTACTGTGGGTACTCGAAAAAGAGGGAATGACTGTTATACTAGCTTCAGTGAGTAGTAGAGATCTGGTCTTCATATCCTAAAGCACTATGTTTACGTGAGAGGTTTCTGTGCATCATATTCCTTAGAAGACAAATTGAGTTCTTGTTTTATTGTATCACTGAGTACTAGGAGAGTGTCTGCAGTGGTCAATTTATGTGTGTGTGATTTTGTATAGATACTGGATTGGATCCAACCAGCTTTTGTATTGATGAAAAAGGCCAGTGGGGTCTCCAATGACCCCTAAAAATGCTATGATGGGCTTGCACAAAAGCCATGTGGGATGGAGACCATATTAAGGAGGGGAATTGGATGAGGTTGAATGAAAAAGCTCACAGGATCTAATCCATTGCTAGTAAGCTTGTATAGGATATATCCAGGACCATAGACTGTCTCAACTTTTGCTCTAGGCCTGTATGAGCTTTTTAATGCTAAAACCCAAAAGTACTAAGGTGCCAGTGTTTCTGTGATGTCTCTTAGCATTTGCAGTGGCTATCTGGACAGCCTTGCCATTGATACAGTTGTTTTTCTACTGCTTTTAGTCAAATTTTGTCAAGCCTGCCCTGGGCTCTGGGGGCCGACCCTCCTGTGGCTTTGACGCCTCAAGGTGGGGGAGGTCCAACGGCTCTGGGAGATGAGTGTTATAAAGAAGAGGGGGAGTGTTGGGGCCTCAGATAGGTAGGGGACGGAGTTGAACGCCACTCCATAGGTCCCTCTACCTCCATGCTTCGGTTCCCCAGCCTCTCAGCGTCCTCCCTGGACTCCTTCTCGCTCTCTCTGCATCCAGTGGTTCCGAGCATGTCCTTCTTCCCCGGCCCCTTCGCTTCCATCTCCTTTATACCCAGCTCCGTCTCCCATCCCCGCCTCCCTCTCATTCTTCCCAGCCCCGCCCCCCTTGATAAGCTCCAACACCTTCCCCGCGGCCAGGGTGTGATCATAGCTATGCCGGTGGTGTGGTTATAGGGCTGCCGTCAGCCTCTCCATGGCACCATCGGCCTCTCCTGCTGCTCCCCGCAGCTCCGTGGTTGGGCGGGGTCAGACCGTTGCATCCCGGCTGTGCTGACGGGGCAAGGTGAGGCAGGGTCTTCTCAGTCTGCAGGTTCTCTAGGTGAGTTGGTGGTCATTGGGGTCTCTGGGGGGTGTGGGTTAAGTCCCGGGATGCCTGAACAGGAACAAATTTATTTTATATTTCCATTTCTCCCCAAAATAAAAGGTATTCACCAGTCTTAGGGATTTTTCCCATTCCTTGTAGATGCCCCATTCAAGGGATTTGCACTCCTTCCCTGTCCTCACTTACCAGAGTTAGCACTTAGTAACTCGCTGTGTAAATTTGGCATGATTGACAAAGGTTGAAACCCATCCAGAAACTGCAAAAGAATTAGAATTTTTCTCAGAAGAAGAAAATGCATAAGTACAACACAGAAAGGTCACAAAATATACTTCAGGATAAGAAGAAATGTACACTGCTTTTTAAAGTGATTTAGAAAGTTTAGAGAGAGAGAGAGAGAATAATGTATTATACATTTAATTATACATGTAAGTTGTTGTTTTTTTAAAGGAGAAAGCATTAAAGAGTATAAATAATGGGAAGTTAATAGCTAGGGAACTGGGCAGAATCTGTTTGCCACTACTAGTGGAGCTGAGCTATTTGAAAATAGTTTCTGGAACTTCACAGTGCACACAGCCAAGCCAAGGCCCTGGGAGATGAGTGAATCCATTAATCGCTGCAAAGCAGCTGCCAGCTCTAACTGGGCACCTGCTAATATTTAAGCCAGGGTGGGATTTTTTTTTTGCATTAGCGGGAGACAATTTTATTCCTCTCCCATTGAGGCTGTGGACATTTTATAAACGTGCACTTGCTCCTCTCTACAAGAACCTGAAGCTAATCAACATACCATATTAGTTCAGTCGGTATTATTTATATGTGTATATGGTGGTAACTTAATAATAGTTTACCAGTTTAGTCCTGCTAACATTTCTAAACATTACTTTGAATGGGCTTCTTAATAGCTTCATATTGACCCTTGTGGCTGCATGAGTAGTTAACCGCATTAAAATTCTTGCAGTCTTGCTTTTTCAAATAGAGTTTGTTCAGAAACATTAACATGCCTTGTGGTATTTTCACTTCTTGTCATGATGAATCTAGTAATTTAGCTCCTCTTTGTCCTGTGTTTCTTTGGCATCTAGGGCCAACAGCTTTCCTCTGCCTTCGCCAAGTCCTTCCCGAAGGGATGACAGACATTACAGTGATGGGGATTTGCCACCTGCCAATGGGCCCTGTTGACGCCGCAAGATAAGTTTAGCTACCTAGGAGAATCACAGGTATTTTTCTTCAGCAACCACAGTTCTAACTTATGACACATGTACAAAACATGTGGTATGTTACGGAACCAGCATGTATTAATTTTTTTAAAAATAGGATGCAGGAACTACAAGCTTAGATCGTACTCAGCCCAGACATTCACCGGGTGGTCTTGAACAAGAAACTGCCTTTCAGCATAACCAGCTCACAGAGTCACTGGGATAAAATAAAATGTGAACATGTGTCCCATCCAATGCTCCCTCTAAGCTCTGGAGTCTTGTGAGCAAAAATTCTACTTGGTGAGCTCCTGGCACTAAAGTTGTGAGCAAGCTATTTGGCTGCTGCATAAATTAGTTTGCTCTGGAGCCATCCTTCCTGAGCTAAGATGAAAATGTGTGAGCCAGAGGCTAAAAAACTGTGAGCTAGCTCACACTAACTCAGTTTAGAGGGAACACTGGTCCCAACTTGAACTTTTCTTAGGAAAGAAATCTACCTTTCCCACCCCCGTTCAGATAATCCATTTGATGCCCTCACTGATTTTCCTGTTTGCTTAAATAAATTGTATCTTCATATTTCATATTTTGTAAGCCACTTTTGATCCCTACTGGAAAGAAAAGCAGGATAAATACTGAAATCAATAAGAACATTCAGATTCTCTCAAAAAAGGCAATGAACAGAAATTGAAAACTGCTGGGGAAAATCTTCCAATATAATATGTAGTCAGGAAGTTATCAGTGGATACAATCTGAATGTGCTGTATTTGCTTTATCATTTTTAAGCCATAACAAAGGAATTTGGTACTGGTAGAATATGAGCACATCTCACTGGCTGCTTATAAAACTAAACTGTCCATGGTTTTTAGGTCACTCCCCTCTCTCAAAATGCCTAGCCAATTGAAACCAGGCCAGTGATAGTTAGGTACAAGTAACTTTTGAGATGAGAACAAGCCTTTTGAACTGCAGTCCCCTAGCAGACCATAAAAGTATCAGACTTCTATCCTTGTGTGAATAAAATGTATTGGGAGTGTTAACGAGTGACAACAGACAAAACAAGAACAAAAAAGATTTTAAAAGCATTGGCAGTTTTCCATTTTGTTTTGCTGCCCATTCTAAAGATGTCTGGTGTTGCAGCTTGAAGTTCAGTTTAGCTTCTTGAACAGTCTTTATTTCTGGACCGTCTGCTCCGGTCTTGTCTAGAAAAGCCCTCTGCAGTGGCATTTCCTTTTTGCTTGGGTCTTATGCTGATCCAACTGCCGCGCTCTAATCTGCTAAAGAAAGGTTTACAAGGGATCCAGAGAGAGTGCAAGAACTGAGACCAAATAGATTTCTGATGCCTTTTCTCCCTTGAAATCTGTGACTATGTTTTAATTTGCCTGTCTAGCATATTTCCAAGGAGAAGCTAAGAAATGCCTGCTGTTTTGCTGTGCAAATATAAAATCCTTTATTCAGACCACTTTGCAACAGTCAAAGCATAACCTCATCGTATTTGTTTATCCTTTTGCCTTGCTCCTGTTCGCTGATGCTGTCCATGTCTCAATAACACTAATAGCTTTTTGTTAGCCGTAATAAAGTTGATTCATGTCCTGGGAAAAATGCAGCCAAGCCTGGCTGATCAGTAATATTTTAAAACCTCTTGGGATTCTCACCCCCTTTTACTTACACACACACACACACACACACACACAGAGAGAGAGAGAGAGAGAGAGAGAGAGAGAGAGAGAGAGAGAGAGAGAGAGTAGGCAAAGTGAATGGGAACAATAATCTCTTGGTTGGGTTTAATTCCAAAGGGGCCCGTGGATACAGTTCAAACTCTAGGAGGTTTTCTAGGGAGAAGGTTTCACAAAAGGCACTTTGTTCCCTTTTGGGACGGATGCCACCAAATGGTAGAATTCATTTCTTAATTATTTTTCAAGGGCTGTACTGTTTCCAGCTTGCTCACTTTCACACAGATAGGCTTGGTCACATAGATATGCTTGGAATTACAAGAAAGGGTGGAGCCTTCCTGGGAGGATTTGCTTTTTGTGCATGGCATGGCATGGCTTGCCCTATCTGGTCTCTGTGAGCCCAGTCTTGTTCCTAGGATACCTTTGCTTGGCCTTAATTTATGGAGCTTGCTTTATTAGCTCCCCCCCAACAGCCAAGATCTACCTTGACATTCCAGCTAAGCTTCTTTCTGCTCTGGCCAAGACCAGCAGTTCAAATGAACTCCAGATAAATGTTAGAAAAATAAGTCTGTGCTTATGAGGGCTGTAGCGTGCTGAGCCTCTGCATTACAAAGAACACTATGAGAGTTTTAAAAGGGGGACCCATAGCTATCAGGACATGACACCTTGGAGCTAAATGAACTGTAAAGCTGGGCTTATGGATGGTTATCTCAAGGGGAAGGGAGACAGAAGTAAGAGTGAGAGTCCACATAATATAGAAATTCCACAAAGGCCTGCAGACAGTGTAACCTCTCCACCTCTGTCATGAAATTATCTATTAAATCTTCATGAAACAAGCTAGTAATAGATACCAATCACTGCTAATGAAAATGAAATCTGCTTCTTTTCTGCAACAGTATTTCAAGGGGAATGTGTTTTTGACTCAAGGTAATCAGGGTAAATAGCCTTTAGCCTTTTTAACTTTCATCCTAGATGGAGTCATTGCAGGTATCCTTAATGAATGACATATTCTCTTGACTTTTACTGTGCCATTGGAAGGTAGCAAAACAAATGAAGGCAAATCAATAGCAGGGCTTTATCACAGAACAAAATTTAAGTCATTTGTAACCAAGCCATAAAAAGAATTTACTTTCTTCAGATCCTAGAGCACAGGTCCCCAACCTTTTTGAGCCTGTGGACATCTTTAGAATTTTGACATAGGGTGGTGGGTGGCAGGCACAAAATGGCTGCCATGGAAGGTGGAGCCAACCACAAACCATAACTCTCATTGTAACTCTTCAACCTTTCAGGCAGAAACTCTGTTAAACAGGATGAAATGAACATACTGTTAAAAAATTTTATTGCACAGACACAGTTTACCTTCAGTTACACAGTGAAGATTTAGCTGAATGGGAGTGAATCCAAAATGTTTTTGATGAGCAGAGGTTCAAGCACGTAGGATTTCTCCACTATACTCACAGGAGCTTGGGTCACAGCATACCATTAAGGCATTCTTTGAACCGTAAAATTCCAGAAAGCGTTTTGACATGCCCGTACATTTCTCATTTTAAGCCAAGTTACATTTTATGGCAATTAATGCCTTTTTGTATATATGTATTCGCAATGAAAGCTGTAGTTGACAACCTTACCTATATGTGTTTGTAAAACAATTTACATATTTCTGCATGGGCAGAGCTCTGCATTGATAACCTAAAACTAAATTGCAGTACTGTAATTAATAGATACTTTATATTTTAATGACTACTTTAATGGTATGTTGTGCCTTTTTAATAAACCTGATTCGTGAAATTTTCGATCCTAACTACTGTCTGTAGTGTGGCTTTTTTGGGGTGAAGTTTATTTCCCTGAAAATTTTTTAGTACATGAAGTTCTGTATACAGGATTACGCTGAAACTCCATGGGGGGGGGGGCATGCAGTCAGCTCAAAGGATCAGAAGTTCTGGATAATTGGATGGCTGCATCTCTGGTTGACCTTCCCAGTAATGAGCTGAATGAAAATATAATGTGCTTCATGAAGGAAAAGAATGGTTCCTCAAAATGATGCTGGAATCTAAATGTTTAGAGTAATGGCTAGAACCTGTGCTGACACACTAAATGCTGGAAGGCTGAAAGAAACTATTGTGGCACTTGTATCTAAACCAGATTCAAAAGGGGAGAAAGAGAGACCCAGTGGAATCTTTGTCCCTTTAGGAAATATGTGCATAGTCCTAACAGGAGGAGCTTCTGAAGGTCCTTTGGGCTTATGGGTGGGAGACTAATAGAGGGCATTTTCATAGAAACCTAACATGGTTGTTACTTGTACTTTACCTACATGAATAGACAAGCTAACACTGTATCTAGACCTGCCCTAGCAGATGGTACTAGGCTGCCCTAAAATTTAACAAGCTCTTTGTGTCAATCATCTCCGGTACACTTTTCAGAATACGGAGGTCTTGAAAATTTCTTTTCTTTTCTTTGTTTTGGATAAAGTAGGATAAAGTTTACGTCTCTGACAAATGTATCTGTTGGGCAGAGGTTTCTGTTTGCTCTCCTAAAAAGTGTTAGGAGGGGGGAAAGAACCATGATGTAATACACGATTTATCTTAAAATGGGGAGAAATATAGTGTTATGCTGGTCCCTAAAGTTATCCGACTGCATTTTCTACTGATTTCTGCTTGCCTTAAGCATTTAAGAGTAATAAAATTGCAAAGTAGACGCAGGATAGGAAAAGGGACAGAAAAATACTTGTGTGTGTGAATTCTCAGGAGAAGGAGAATTTAATAGGTTGGTTATTGCAAGAGCTAGCATTCTGTGAGGAACAAAGCAATGTGGAATTTTGAGTTTATTTATTTAGAATATTTTCGGCCCTGTCTTTTGACTCCCAAGGCAGCTTACAACCTTGGGGAAAAAACCATACTGTGAGATATAAGGACAGGCTATCCCAGTTTTGAGGCTGGGCCCTCCATTTTACCTTTGCTCACTGGAATTTTCCTTTCTTCTGCAGAAGGATGGCCCCTGCATTCAGTCTCCATATGGTGAAAACTGTCCTGAATACATAGCAGAAGAGACAGCAGACACCTTTGCTTTTGCTGTACTTTTCACCTGTATCTAAGACAGTCTGTTCCTTCTTCCAGATGTATCCTTTGTGAATATACTGCTTGTCATACCAAATGAGTTATTTGCTGATCAATCACTTTACTGCTTAAGGTTGACAAAACATCTTGCAAAAAATCAGTCACTTGCCTTTTGAAATGTGGAATTGCTAAGTTAAAATCAAGACAGGATCACAGTAGAAAAGGAGAAATATGGGTGTGAATATGGCACTGATTTTCAAGTTGACAGGATTGCTGAGGACTCAGTTTGAATAATTCAGTGTGAATGAGATGAAGAAATTACAGAAGGGGAAAATTACTCCATTAAGTCACATATAAGAATAAAAAATTAATTTAGGGTTCTTTAAAAGAAGCTGCCTGTGTAGCAAAATAAATAATACTATGCAGTTCTAATATTTCTCAATTTTTTTGTACATTGTAACCTCATAGATGAGGCTAACACTTAACAATCAAGAGTCTGCAGACTTTTAAATCCAGTTCATGTTGTGAGTTCCTGCAAGTCTTATGCCTTAAAAATCAGTGTAAAACAATAGAGATGTTGAACCTTACAAGACTTTAAAGAAAGAATTATGCATTTCTTTCTAGCTTGAGGCAATTTCAGGTTAAAACTGCCTGACTGCAAGAGCAATAAAGTAAAGAAATATTATTCTTGAAGGGGTACAGAACTCATTCATGAGCCTATAGAGGTGGAAGGATCTTGCCCAGTCTGGACTCTCTGTCCAGTAATTTTGTGTGTCTGCGTGTAATGCTTAACTATAAATACATGAAGCTGCCTTATACTGAGTTAGGGCATTGGTCACCTTCCTCAATTACTGTCTACTAGGACTGGCAGCAGCTCTCCAAGTTCTAAGACAAAGGTCTTTTCCAATGCCTACCACCCTCACATGATTTATTTGGACTGAAACTCCTGCTAGCCAAGCATATGTTTTATCACATGGGCATGGCTTACCATGTTACTTACTGCAAAGTAAGCAGTAAGGGAGTCCTGTGTATTTACCCCCAAGTGTGATTGGTGGACAGCAGTAGATAAAGACTGACAGAGCATCTCAGTTCAGGAAGCACCAAAAGGACAAAAGAGTCCTCCACATACTGATGGCATCAATCCAGGGTGGATGCTGTTAATCCCTCCCTTAAATGCAATAAATTGTGTTGTGTGTGTCTCCATCGTACCATACAGATATTTTCCCTTCTTTTACTCCAGGCCAGTAATGATTGCAACTGAAAAGCTTTTTGTGTAGTCTTTTGTAGCTGTTGAGACCATAAGTCACTAACTTAAGAACTAAATTGCTTCCATAAAGGCAGGGTCATGGAAACACTGTGTGGAAAACCATGGGAAATTTGTATTTACAAGAAATTACCCAGTGTCATTTGGTATGAGGTGCTAGTACTTTACAAAATAAACATCCCTTGCCCCAAAGTTGTTCAGCTCTGATCTTAATGGTATTTGGAGAATCTTTTAAGTGAAGGCTAATTCCACAAGACTCCCAAGTCACCTACCATGGAATCTTTGTGGCTATTAGCAGAGGCATAAATTAGCATCCTTTGTGCTAGCTCTGGAAGTGGATTGGGCCAGTGGCTCTGAAGTTAATCCCCCATTTTCAGAAACAAAAGAGGCTTCTACCTGTGTTGGTTGTTAGGTTCCCACTCATGCCTGGAGACTTACCATGTGAAGATGAGTGTATGATCATTAATAAGTAGTTAAGACTGTGAAGTTGGTTTATACTAAAATCCATGCAGACATTTCTATAGAAATTAGCTATATTGCTTCTTCTGATTATTTTCTACAGTTGTGTCTGTGTTCTTTGATGTTTTCTGACCTGTATGTATGCAGTCAATAAAATAATGTCTGGTATTCTGGTGTTCTAGATTGTGGCGAATCTATAAATTCCAAAATCCTTCACCATGCCTACCTGTTGGGCAATATTGCTGGCACTGAAAGAAGTGGGTGAATGGAATCTAACAGGGTTTTTACAGGGGATTGTGCTTGGAATTGGTACAAGAGGTGAAGACGAGTAAGTGTGGATCCGTTTGCTTGAGGTTGTGTGGTTTCTGAGCTGTTTGTGGTGTGTCTGTGTGAAAATCTCCTTGCTTTTGGTGAGTGCACTAGAAGCACATGGTCCTTCTGGGAAGGGCTTCTGCTTGAGTGAGATGACTCAGCTGCCTGCTATTGTGTTGCTCCTCAGAGTAGAGCCACAATGGTCAGCTGTAAAGGAGAACTCATTAGAGGGCTGACTCTGTAAGAGGCACTCAGGATCCATGCGGGGCTTGTGACCAGTGCTTCGAACAAGATTTCTAACCCGAAGGTTGGGCTTGAAAGTTCAGCATGGGAGAATGAGGGGGAACAGGAGAGAACCCCTCTAGTCCGAGTTTCCTGAGAAAGGACATTCAAGCTTCACATCATCAAGGAGGGGTGGTATTCTGCTGTATCCTTCCTGCTATGGAAATTCACACAAATTCTGGTAAACACCCTATTTCAATCTAAAATACCTTTAAATGACTAAACCACTTATGAAGGTGGAAAGCCAGCAGGGGAGGAGGGGGGCTATCCAGTGTTTTGCAGAGAGTGCCACATATACGATTATCTACCCACTGGGTAGAAATCATGGGTATGTGCTCACTGCATGGAGCTCTTGGCTCTCAGGGAGCAGGTTCATTCTCCCTCTGAGTCGGAGGACATCTGCATGGGTTATTCCCACCGTGCCAATAGGGAGGCAGGAAGAAGTTTTTCCCCTTCCTGTTGGCGCCTTCGGAATAGCCCCTCCTTAGTTCTGTTCCTGCCTCACTAGGGAGTAGCAGCAATCCTTAGCTTACTCTACCACTTTACGTGAAAATTCTTAATCCTTCCTTCTCTTTTAGCCTGATCTTGCCCTCACGTCTTTACTTTCCTCCTTCTCCGTTTCTTACCTTGATTTCCGCCTGTTTCTCTGTCCCATCGGGACGAAGATTGCCTCAGCCATCTTCTCGGCCAAGGACAACCTTCGATCAAAAATGGCGGCAAAGGAGATTCCCGAGAGTTTTTCCTCGGGCGACGAGGGAGACTATCAAGCCGCGGCTGCGGCCAAGCGAAGCACCAGCGGGCCCGATCAGCTCTCGCGGCTTGATCGTGCGCCTACAACGGAGGCTGCAGCGGGAGCGACGGCGGCGCGTAGCGCCCAGAAACGCCGCCTGCAGCCGGATAGAGACGAGCCCGCCTTTCTTCTACCGCGTCCTAGGACGAGCGGCGGCCATCTTGAGGATCCGGCTTCGGGCCCTGGATCCTCGACGGGGGCGGCTCCGGTGCCGACGGGCAGCAGTACCTCGCGCTTACAGGGATCGGCAGAGACGGAGCACAACCTCCAAACCGAGGTGGAGTCTGGTAAGCCCCCAAACTCAGCGGTCTTGGTAGATCCGTCGGAGTTAATGGAATTTATTAGGCACTCAATTGAAGCTGAGGTGGCCAAGGTTTCCAGGCCAGAGCGGGCAGAGGCTCAGGAACGTCCCCCCCCAGGTCCTTCCACCCCCAGAACGCAGGGTTGGCCCACCAAGGCAGCAAAGAAAGCTCCCTTCCAGACCCCTGGAAGATTTGCCGATGAATGTGGGGGGGAAGACTCTGAGTCTAACGCATCCTCTATAGAGGGCAGAGAGGAAGGGGAATTTTTGTCGGATGATGAAGTGGAGGAGCTACCATTACCCGAGCAGTCCAGTCGGTTCTTCAAACCAGAGGACTACCAATATCTGTTAACAAAGGCCGTTAAAGCTCTAGAGCTTCATGACGTTCCAGCGTCTGAATACCAAAAGACTGCCAGAGCAAAGATCCGTTCTAAATCTGGTGGCAATAGGGAATTCTTTCCTCCAGAAGAGTACTCAGACAAGGTTTTCCCCTTCCCTGAATACTTTGAACGTCAATTGACAGCTAGTTGGGATAAACCAGTAATAAATAAACAGTTTCCTTCATTCACCAAAAAACTGTATGCTGTACCTAACTATGCAAATGAGCTCTTGCAGGTTTCCCCGGTAGATGCCCCGGTGGCGGCGCTGCAGACAGCTGGTCTAGTCTCTGAGGACGGACTGGGTACCCTGAGAGAAGCTACAGATAAGAGACTGGAGACTACACTTCGTAGAGTGCACGAATCATTCGCCATGATGGTAAGAGCAGCGTCGACCGCGTCTATCGCCGCCAGAGCGTCTATTGTATGGCTACGAAAGTTAATCCAGCTCATCCCTGAAGACAGCAGGGCACTGCTGGAAGGACTATCCCGCACGCTTAAGTCGGACTCCTTCACCGCGGATGCAACGCTGGATATTATCTCCTTCGCTTCTAAGGGTCTCGCGTCTACAGCCGTTGCCAGAAGACTCCTCTGGCTACGGGCCTGGCAGGCCGATGCACTTTCCAAATCCATTGTCACGGCGTATCCTTTTCAAGGAGACCGGCTATTTGGGGAAGCTCTTGATAACATCCTAGTGGAAACAAGAGACAAAAAGAAGGCCATGCCTCGATCATTGAGAACCTCAGACAGACGGACACCTCAGTCCTTTCGGTCCCATCACTCCTTGCCACGTTTCCGCCAAGACTTCAGGAGACCAGCTTGGGAATCCAACAAACAGAACAACAGACGGGGATCTTTCCCCTCTCGGTTCCAGAGAGTCAATTTCACACGGAGTGATAGAGGTGCGAGAGACGCAAAGCCAAAGCAGAATTGACTACCTTCACTTGCCGGTGGGAGCACGCCTTCTACACTTTGCACAGGCATGGACAGAGACACTGGCAGATGCCTGGGCGTTGGAGGTCGTGTCACGAGGTTACGCTATAGAATTTCACCAACATCCACCTCATCGGTTCCTACAATCACCGGCAAGCAAAAACCCAGAAAAGCGACGTATCATAAAAGGGGCCATCCAGCATTTACTGGACATCAAGGCCATAGAACCAGTCCCTTCCGAACAACGACACCACGGCGTTTACTCAATTCTGTTCGTAGTCCCAAAAAAGAACAAGGACTGGCGAGCAATCCTGGACCTCAAATATTTGAACAAGTTCATTCGATTGAGACACTTCCGTATGGAAACACTAAAAGCCGTAGCAGATTGTCTATCGCCCAACGAGTTTTTGACTTCAATAGACCTCACAGAAGCGTACCTCCATGTTCCAATCCACGCGGCTCACAAACAATACCTTCGGTTCTGCATTTATGGAGACCACTTCCAGTATCGAGCACTTCCTTTCGGTCTTTCGACGGCCCCCCGGCTCTTCACCAAACTACTTGTCAACATAGTGAGCCACCTCCGGGGACTGGGAGTACATGTGCACCCCTATTTGGACGACCTTCTAGTGCGGGCCAGTACGCGTCAGGAATCGATCCGCAGCACACAAGAGACTATACTCTGTTTACGCAACCACGGATTCTTAATAAACATCGTCAAGAGTTCACTTCAACCGAAACAACGTATCGAACATCTTGGAGCAGTTATCGACACCACTCGGTCAGCTCTATTTCTCCCAAGGGACAAGGCGCAGAAAATCAAAGCCGGAGCTACGAGGGTTTACCAGAGCAGGTCATCCCCACTGATGGACTTGGCCAGCCTGCTAGGACTGATGATTGCAGGTATAGACATGGTACAGTGGGGCAGAATGCATGCGAGACCTCTGCAGCTGTTTCTACGCCCTCACCAACGCAACATTATGTTACGAAGACAAATGAATGTACTGGTACCGCTAGCGGTCAAACACAGTCTACGATGGTGGATGCACATACCCAACATGACTTCGGGGAAGCCTTACTTAGTCAACCAGGTCAGAGAAGTCTTCACAGATGCCAGTCTTTCCGGATGGGGGGCCACGTTGGAAAACATTCCAGTCCAGGGAGTTTGGAACAAGTTCGAATCGGCCCTTCCAATCAATCTTCTGGAGATACGGGCAATCTTCCTGGCGTTGAACCATTTCTCACACCTTCTACAGAATCAACATGTCCTCGTAAGGACGGACAACATAGCAGCAAAGGCCCATATCAACAAACAAGGAGGATCCCGCTCCTGTCGACTACACAAGGAGGCCACAAAGATCCTGGTTTGGTCAGAGAAAAACATCGCATCGCTACGAGCGGAGCACATCAGGGGGTCCGAAAACGTGCAGGCGGACTGGCTCAGCAGACAGGTGTTGCAAGAGGGGGAATGGTCTCTACACTCCGACTTATTTCACATGATAGTGAATCATTTCGGTCAACCACAGTTGGACCTATTTGCAGCACCAGACAACCGCAAAATTCAGAGGTTCTTCACCAGATATTACCACAAGGACGCGGAAGGAGTGGACGCCTTCACGACTCCATGGCCGCCGGGGTTACTTTATGCATTTCCCCCGTTTGTTCTGCTATCCAGAACTTTGCGCAGAATCAGGTTTCTCGGAGCAGAGGTGATCTTGATAGCTCCTCGATGGGCCAGACGCCCATGGTTCTCAACACTACAGAAGATGTCCGTGGCACCTCCGTTAACCCTTCCGATATCCCCGGACATGATATCGCAGGGACCAATTTGGCATCCAGACCCGGCTTGGTTGGCTTTGACCGCGTGGAGATTGAGCGGAAAAGATTAGTAGAAGCGGGGTTCTCGGAGCGAGTTATAGAGACAATCTTGGCTTCCAGGAGAAGATCAACAATTCGCATTTACAACTGTACTTGGAAAGCTTTTGTTCGATGGTGTCGACGGAAGAAATTCGATCCTCTTTCACCTACGATACCTTCTCTATTGTCCTTTCTCCAGGAGGGCCTGG